GGGTGCAGACTTAACGCCTACAGGTCAGGTGGGTGCAGACTTAACGCCTACATAGGAGACCTGGGTGCAGACTTAACGCCTACAGGAGACCTGGGTGCAGACTTAACGCCTACAGGTCACCTGGGTGCAGACTTAACGCCTACAGGTGTCATGGGTGATAGACTTAACGCCTACAGGTGACCTGGGTGCAGACTTAACGCCTACAGGTTACCTGGGTGCAGACTTAACGCCTACAGGTCACCTGGGTGTAGACCTAACGCCTACAGGTCACCTGGGTGCAGACTTAACGCCTACAGGTCACCTGGGTGCAGATTCAACGCCTACAGGTATCCTGGGTGCAAACTTAACGCCTGTGGGTGATCTGGATGTAGACTTAACGCCTACCTGGGTGCAGACTTGACGCCTACAGGTCACCTGGGTGCAGACTTAACGCCTACAGGGACCTGGGTGTAGACTGTGCATTACAGCAAAAAGTCTGTTTTTTTCTGTGAAAGTTTCATTCCAGCAGAAAAAAGTTCTGAAATTGTTGGCCTCACACTCTTACGCACACCGTACTTTCTCTCCATATTCCTACTCTCAGACAAATGAGTGAGCCTTGGTCCAAATACTGAGGCGCTTTCTTACCCACAACACGACCTGCGAGTGGACGTAGCACTGATACGCCCTTTTGTCGGGGTAAACTGGGGGTATCGCTACGTGAACAAAGTCTCGCTCTTGTAGGTGTTACTTGGTTCCGCCACACTTAAATTTGATGACTAACTTGAGGGAAACTTCAATGGTTTGCCTGAAATTTTCTTAAACTTTGTATTCTCTATGAATGATGAAATTTACTGCGTTTAATTCGTCATCTTCTGATGAAGCTCTCGTTACTGAGTATCTTTGAGTCGAATTTACGGTTACATACATTTGTAAATTCCAACTTCGATAAGTTGGCATAAATCACGATTTTTTGAATTTCCGCCGTCATCTGATGATGTACTAATGTCAAGGCAGCATATATTTAATTAAATTTTCCGTTTTATGTCCTGAATGAAAATCGGAGGAAAATTTCTGTGTTAACCTCATCTTCATGTTTGTATGAACACTGCTTTACTTACCCAAGTTGTAGTTCGTTATTCTAATTTTATTCCTACCTTGGCTGTAATTTGTTACTTTGACTGTATTCAAACCTAAGTTGTAGTTCGAAATTTTAACGATTTTCGTACATGAGGCGTAGTTTCGTATTCTAATGTTTTTCGTACCTGATTTGTAGTTTGATATTCTAATGGTATTAAGGCCAGAGTCGTGCAATTGAATTGCTCACTAAAAGTTGTAAATAACTGAAAGTTGCAGTCATTAATTGACTTCATGACTTGCAATGGAAGCTCGAACAGTCTCGTCTGCTGGTCCCTTCGGGCACCACTGCTCAGCACTAGGGGACTCCTGTGATACAACGGAACCAGTACTAGGCTGCACCATCTATATACCAGGGGGACCAGTACTAGGGTACAACAGTCACACACCAGGGGGGTCAGTCCTATTCCAAGGGGACCAGTAAAGTTGTGCAACATTCCCATTAAAAGGAGAGGCAGTACTATGGAGCGACAGTTCCATACCAGCGGAACCAGTCGCATATAGCATAGGTGCCGGTACTGTGCATCAAAAGTCAAATATCAGAGTGACCAGGCCTATGCTAGGTGAGCCAGTACTATGAAGCGACAGTCCCACATCAGAGGGACCAGTTCCATAACAGGAAGAACCAGTCACAAGCACATTTCATACGAGATTTTCACACCGCAAGTAAGAAGCATATCTCGCTTACCAACGCAAGTGGGGGAACCTCGGACGATGTCTTGGCACATCTCGTGCTTGCAAGATCACGCGAGGGAAAGTTGTTGCAGTCGCATTCTTGAGCTCACTCGGACAATCTCCTAACCTTGGAAATAATGGACATCTTTTTAAATTTCTCTGGAGTAAATGTTAATCCCGAAACATAAGCAAAGAATTATCTGCAGCTGTGGGTCCCTCAGGCTCCAAAAGAGAAAAATTGTGTACCGTAGCTTATGTAATGTGATCAGAAAACCCATTTTCATCAATTTTTGAATAATCAATTTGTAAATGTAAGGTATAGCAATTTTATGAACTGTTAATTAAGTTTAAAGATATTATACATAAAGCTGATACCATGGCACATGCCTCTAATTTGTGTTATTGGGACCACCTGCTGGTTATATGAATAATTTAACCACCTTACTAGAATAGGGTCAAGAGGGAATAGCTACACCTGTGGGTGACGGGGTTACTTAGGATCACATGTCAGCAACCTATTAGGGTTATAGTGGAACTCCGCCTTATGAACTCCTGCACCACGTTCAAACTGTTAGAGCGAAAAAAAGTTCAAACTGTTAGATCGAAAAAAAGTTCAAACTGTTAAATCGGAAAAATGTGCTCAGCTGTGCGACCGTGCTTTGCTGTAAGACTCCGGGCACTGCAAAAATATGGAATCGACATAGAAATTGTCGAAATCTATCGATGATAAATTGGGCATCATCAAGCAACATGCGGCGGCATACGGGTTTTTAACCTAATTGCTTAGGAGTAAGGCCAAATAAATGTACGATCTCAACTCTCTTTGGTCAGAAGGAAATAAGATAATTGCTTTTCAGCTTAATGTAGAGAAGGGTAAATATGACTTTTGAGGAGGTCACATACGGATCGAAGTCTTCTCCATTAATTTAAATGTAAAATTATGTTCGCTTTACTAACCGAGTTTGTGCATAAATCAGTTATAAAGTTTATAAGGCGGAGTTCTACTGCAATTGTAATCGCCTGCCAGAAATATTGTTGGTACGTTCACAAGCCTATGAACAGGCGAGAGCAACATAGAGTTACCTACGAGCCTGCCCGTTAATTGATAGTTGAGTCCAACTGAGTTGTATTCAGAAAGCTAGAAGACGCAACACTTTTTTTTTGCCAGATTCCTATATACGCCTTTAATTCCTATACACACCTATAGATTCCTATACAACTATACTTGTCGAATTAGAATAAGTCTACCAGTTAAATCGGGTATAGTTAGACAGTTATATTTAAGGTCCTTTTGTGTCGCCATTTGTAATAGTGGCCTAAAACTCTAAAAAAAGTGGCCTAAACTCTAAAACTCTAAAAAAAGTGGCCATAGGACTAAAACTCTCTTGGAACCTTTTTCTGTCTCCGACAGATGAATTTTAAGCATTTTTAAGTGCAAATTCTAAGTTAAATATTATATTGCGAACGCGTAATATCTGAGTTAGTTGGAAATCAAGTTGATTGTTGTAGTAAATGCACATACGTAATCCATAAATCGATACCTCATTAATTAGCTGAAAATGTTACCCTATGCAGTTTTCGACAAACTTGCCAATATATCCATACTAATATATCATTTGGTTTTTCCTTTCAAACTTAAACTTGCTAATATATCCTTTGGTTTTTTTCTTAAAGACCTACACTTGCTAAGAAATCCTTCGGTTTTTCCCTGAAGACTTAAAAACTTGCCTTTCCTTAAGGCAAGGACAATATATACCTAAACCTTATAACCTTTGGTCTTTCCTTAAAGACTTAAACTTGCTAATATATCCTTTGGTATTTCCCTAAAGTTCTATGTTCAGGATAATATTTTCTGTGGCGCTGTAAGATACAGTTAGTTCATCACCGCTTTGAATTAGGCCACAATATAAATAACTAACTTCAAAGTAATTGATGTAACTTGAGCAGGTTGTTTTTGTGGGCAAAGCCAACGTACGTATTCATGAGCCTGAGTTCATTTGTTTAGCAGATGTCCGTGGCAATCGGGTTCGCTAAAGGTTAAGGTTTCTTAACACGGAACACTAAAAGAAAACTCGTTTAAACTGCCTCCGCTTTCCCTTGGCCAGAGAACTTGAAGTCGTAAGGTCAGGTGGATATTTGATATGGGTTAAGTTAATGTATCTGGATGCAACATACGAGAGGAGAAAGAATGTGGATGCAACATACGAGAGGAGAAACAATGTGGGTGCAAAATATGAGAGGTCAAAGAATGTGGGTGCAACACACGAGAGGACGAAGGCATATAGGTTTAATGTACACGAAAGGGGTAATGCCTGTGGACGCAACATACTAGAATGAAAATGCACGTGGATGATGCAGTCGCCAAACCGACTAAATCTAGTTCAGCAGGCACAGCTATTGCGGGAGAATCTGGGCTAAGGTTTTATCACATTGACCTCATTGTTTAAAAGTCGCCTAACGGGTGAGGATAATTAGCTTGAGGATAGGGATACGTAGCTTGGATGAGGTGATACGTACTTTGAGTAGGATACGTACATTGTGAAGAAGGATATTCGTCTGACGAAGGATTGATCCAGCTATAACTATGCATCAGGCAGCTTACAGCCATCACAAAATTTGCGATAACGGGATTCAAGAGAAAACTTTTTTGATGTATAATCTCACCCATCTCAGGTTGGAATAATTTCACACGCATTGTGGTTCTTGCCAACGGTGTTTGGTGAGTGCCAAATGTTTATTAAAGAAAAGTAATGAAGAACGATACAAGACATATTTATGCAACAATTATGCAAAGCACAAATCGGGGTGCTGCAGCTAGGTGGCTAAAACTCACCAATTATTCAGATAAAGCTCGGATTGTGAATTTTTTATGTTAGGTCGTAAAATGCTTCCCTATGCTGACTGAAAGGCCGTAGTGAGCAACATATACCGTACGCAGGGACAAATCTGTGTATAATTGTACATCGTGTGTACTGGAGAAAAACCTTCACATTCCAGAAAACGGAATTCTGAACAAAGTAATATGAGATAACAGCATTCAGGATGGAGGCATTTGAGGTAACGGGACTTGGGACCAAGTAACTTGAGATAACGGCATTTGGGTTAAAGGAATTGGAGATGATGGGATTCTGGATGGATAGATTTGAGATAAAGGGATTTGAAGTAAAGGTATTTGTGACAACTGTACTCGGTATATTGTGTAACTTAACTTCTATTTCCCTGATGAGTTTCCCAGAAACAGCAATCTCGAGAGTAAACTATTCGATCTTTAACAGAAAATTAATAACTAAAGAATACTAAGTTTGGTGACGATAAAGCAGCGGCGCAGAGACGATGACAGACGAAGGCAGGAGGAGAGACGTGCGAGGACTGGCGCTGCTGCTGCTGCTGTCATGCCTCGCACACGAGACTTCTGTCCACGCCGTGAACAACGTGAGTACAACGGGGTCCAACCCTAGTGGCATGAGCCCTTAACCCTCTACTGCCGTATGTCACTCTCCGGGAACATAACTTCTAACGTAAATTATACGTAAACTATTGAGTGTAGCAACCTGAGGAAGTTTGTACGCAACAGAGAACATTTTAAAGTTGTCGCACGTGGCGGCAACCTTCAGTGCAAGTCATTTTGCGCTCACTAGAACGTATCTTTTTTGGGAAGTAGGCTTGTGACAATATTGCTCCGAGTACTCATGTCAGGCGGCAGAGGGTTAAGTAGTGATCCCTTATGGTTGGAACTCTCATGAGTGAATCCTCATAATGTGAACTCTTATGGCGTAAATCGTCCCAGTGTGAACCCTTACGTTCTGAACCCTGATGTTGTGATCCTGCATGCAGATATGTACCCTTATATTCTAAACGTTTATGTTGTGATCCTTCAGATATGAACCCAATGCTTTGAACCCTTAGTGCGTTGAGGGGCTGGGGTTTTACTATTATATTTATTTGGAGGACGAATTCAACCTCTAACCGAATAAACGATCTCATTAATGTTGTTACAACCCTAAGATCGACGAAGGGTCGTTGGTTCGGGTGCGAAGGCAAGGAATTTCAACACCTCAACTCATCCCCGGACCTGTGGGGGAACTAAACGTTCCAATCCCCACCAACATCGCAGTCTTTGGGGGTGAGTCCTCCAATTAGGGGAATTTTTTCTTTTGACAAAGTTGGCGGTTTTCTCTGTAGTTCTAAATTTTGAAGTGGGTCTCACACGATGTGTAGAAATTCTGGTGGAATTTTTAAGCTAAGATGCCAGGCAGTGGGGCCGTGTTTGGTTGGGATGAGTTTCAGTCACTCGGTGGCTTCTCTGAAAGTGAAAACATTTTTCCACGGACGATAATTGACTGACTGAATTTTTTCAGGGTGGGAAACTCCCTACATGGGATTCCGTCATTTTTATTCACTATATCTGGAGTGCAAACTTTATGCCACTTTCCGTATGGGGACAATCGAATAAATTTCAACTGTCCAACCTCAGGATAAGCGAAAGAAAACAGCTGCCTGTATAATTCTCGTAACTAATATCATATCATGTTGTAATATCATACACAAAGTTACTGGGTCTCTGCAAGCGGGCCCTAACGCACGAGGATGAATCAAACTGGATCAGAAAACTTTCAAAGGCCATAAGGTTTACTTAAATTTCATGGAAAACCGGCATCCACGACACAGGACTATCACTAAATGCAAATAGGTTTACGAATACAGACATTATATGGACATTAATTACAGATATTTACAATCATTACAACGTGCGGTAGGGCAGGCAAAAGTAGGCTGCTTACTAGCAATCCGCTGCTTCCCGCGAAAACTACCTACGCATACTTTTTCTCTTCAGTCTCTGTTAGAGAGGTGCGGCGACTGAAGAAAACTAATAGCGCGGCCATGGCTGGCCCGCTACAATGTCAAACTTGAAGCTACTAATTCTTTAATACTGGGTATAAACAGTTAATTTATCAAATTAAATAGGAATTGCAATCCTGAATTTGTTTGCTTAATGCCAAGAAGAACTCTAATTCGACAAACGCCATTTACACCGCCGCTGCAAGTGAATCCAATTTACTTCCCCTCACAAACATGAAACTTGAATTCATCTGACGCCACCTAAGCCTGTCGGCGCAAATGAATTCCATTTAATTCATCCTACAAACATGAACCATAATTCCCCTTCCCTCGGCAGGTGCTAACGCAGTGCCGGACTCCTGCCCCCGCAACCGCGTGGCGGTGGAGGATGGATCCTGCCAGCAACTCCTGACGCAGGGCAACTGCTCGGTCAATGAATACGTCCTGCTCAACCCAGAGACTAATAAGGTGGGGTCCTGCTCAACCCCGATACTAATAAGGTGGGGTCCTGCTCAACCCCGAGACTAATAAGGTGGGGTCCTGCTCAACCCCGAGACTAATAAGGTGGGGGGTCCTGCTCAACCTCGAGACCGATAAGGTGAGGACGCGTTCTGTTCAGTTGATTAATGCTCATTTGCGTTACTTATTCATGTTTTGCTCCTGATACTTTCCCCTCCCGTCCGCAGGGCTACTGCGCTCCTCGCCTCTGCCCCCCCGACCGCATCTTCATCTTCAGCACGCAGCTCTGCCACGACCCCCGCGAGCTTAACATCTGCCCACGTAAGTGTGATGTAGGGTGACGTATAGTGATGTAAGGTGATGTGATGGTGGGGCTGTGTGGTGGGATGGTGTCTGGTTATAACTTGTGGTGTCTGGTAATTCGTAGTGGCTAAGACGTTGACGAGTAGTGGTGTGTAATGGTGACGATACGTGATGAATGGTGGTGCTATATGTATTAACTGATTTAGGTGCCCCGTGCGCTTACAGGAACCAAACCACAAATACCCCCACACCGTATTCTCTAATGTCTAACCGATGCCTCCAGGGTATTTTTAAGAAACCTACAGCCACCCTATACATAACACCCACCTGCCGTATAACCTAACTTGAGCCACCGTGCATTTATAAGAACCAATCGTACTACATGACACCCGGTCTCGTATTGCTTCACAACACTTACACGTCGTATAACCTAACTTGAGCCACCGTGCATTTATATTTTATATTTAACTTGAGCCACCGTGCACCGTGCACGGTGGCTCTGCTTGAGCCACCGTGCACCAATCATACTACTTGACATCGGTCTCTTATTGCTTCACAACACCCGCCCGCTATATTAACCACCTGCGCTGTATTAACCACCTGCGCTGTATTAACCACCTGCGCTGTATTAACCACCTGCGCTGTATTAACCACCTGCGCTGTATTAACTGTATTAACCACCTGCGCTGTATTAACCATCTGCGCTGTATTAACTGTATTAAACACCTGCGTTGTATTAACCTCCTGCGACGCCTGTGCCACAGCGGGGCGGGAGCTGTTCGAGTCGAGCTACGGCACGCCGGTGTGCCAGTGTCCTGACGGCACCTACGAGGGCGACGATGACCTGGACGATGACGTGTGCGAGCCGCTGCTGGGACAGATCGCCAACTGCCCTCCAGGCCAGGTGACGTGTAGGAATGCGTGGCTTCGCTGGAAATTGCAAATAGATAGGTTTTACAGCTTAGGTTTTTTGTTGCAATCATGACTGTACTAATTACTGATTTATCTGTGTTCTAGAATTTTCGAACTGACGATGGAGCTGGACTCCGAAACGTTTTCTTTAAAGATACTATGAATTTTTGTGGAGTTTTCTTTGCTTTTAGGTTTTTACTGATTTAGGCTTCCATGCGCTTATAGGAACAAAACAATCAAACCAAAAATACACCCATACCGTATCAGCTAACCAGTGCCTCCTGGGTATTTATAATAAACCAACAGCCACTTTTTACTTAACACACGCCCGCTGTATAGCTTAACTTGAGCCACCGTACATTTTAGGAACCAATCACACCACTTGACACCCGTTCTTGTATTGCTTCACAACGCCCACCTGCGCTGTATTAACCACCTGCACTGTATATTAAACATCTGCGCTGTATTAACCACCCGCGACGTCTGTGCCGCAGCGGGACGGGAGCTGTTCGAGTCGAGCTATGGCACGCCGGTGTGCCAGTGTCCTGACGGCACCTACGAAGGCGACGATGACCTGGACGATGACGTGTGCGAGCCGCTGCTGGGACAGATCGCCAACTGCCCTCCAGGCCAGGTGACGTGTAGGAATGCGTGGCTGTGTGCTGCTGGCATGGCTGTGTGAATTGGTAATTTGCGCTACACATAAAGCTATCTCCCAAGGCATATGACGGTGAAATAACGTTTATCATGAGTTTATTACATTGAAGCTACGTTTAGTCAGCGTTATTTTAAAATCAAATGCCTGATAAAATAGTTTTTTAACGCTATGCATAAAGCTATAGGTTTAATAAAGGTTAGGTACTCATATATCTAATTAGCCAATAATGTCGGTGCTAGGCAGGTCTTGTGGTTATCAAGTAGAAATTAAAGACCATAAAGAAAGTGCTGTGGTCTGCGGTTGAAAAGTAGTCAGTAATGTCGGTACTGGGCAGGTCTTCTGGTTCCGGTCCCTGGACATGGGCCCAGAGTGCGTCCCCGATCCTTGCAATGGACTCAACCTCAAGAGGGGACCCAACGACCTACCCTTCATACCGTCGCTGATCAACGGCAAATGTTTCCAGATGGGGGCGGTAATTTTGAAAATTAACTAATCAAAACAATGAAATGGTTTTGAATATTTTTTTTTTAATGATCGTATCTAATTTTTTGACTGATTTTTCGTACGAATTGGAATTAATATTTCTCATATTGTTTCCTAAATAAATTATTTTTCTACAGTCCGTAGGAGTCTGTCCCAACAACACCTGGTATGGTCTCGCCCTGGACTCGCTGAAGGGGGTGTGTGCCACCTTGGAAGAATTCGGGTACAACGTCTTTGACCCTGAGACTCTACGCACTTTAATCAGTACCTTAGGACCCACAATAACAGAAGGGTCTGATCCGGTAGGGGCTGGAGTTGCAGGTGCAAGTGCGACAGTATTTCCTGACGGTGGCGTACAAGCCTCAGTTTCTGTAGGAGGAATACAGACGTCTGCGTCAGCTGGAGGATCACAAAGTTTCTTGCAAGCTACTCCCGGGACTCAAGTTAGTTCATCACTACAACCAGTCGAACAAATCAACCAAATTCAGCAGCAGATAACCTTGCTGCAACAACAACTTAAGAGACTGCAAGATACTTTGGGGCAGCAAAGCATCCAAACTACTTCACCTGCACAACGAAGAACTAACGGCGTTGGTGTAAGAAAGCTTGATATTGGTGAAAACTTGATTACTTTGAATGGTCGCAGCCAAACGCTGTCTAATCAAGCAGGAACATCGCCAATTTTCTCATCTGCCTCAACTACATCATCTTCTTCTCTTCTCTCCTCGCCGTCGGTTGTAAGAGCGAAACTGGAGTCACGTATTACTGATGTGAGTGACGCTCCTTCGTCAGTACGAACGCCTCATTCGATAGCTCAACCTTCTCCATCGTTATCCCATCGTTTCTCCACAACCAGCATAGGGTCATCACCTCGGCCTAATCCATTCACCAGTCAAACAACCGCGCAAGTGCAACCACCCCGAATAACCACCACCGTGGGGCGTGATAGGGCCATTACATTCCCCAACGGTAATTACCCGCCAGCCAACCGAAGAGCAAATACCCATTACTCCCCTCAGAACAATAGACGAGTCCTCTCGCCCGCTCAGACTCGTTCCAACGTACAAATTCAAGTTCAACCTTCCGATTTTATTCAAATTCAGCATCATAATCCACAGCAGCGAATTCATAATTCGAATTCACTGGAGCTGCACACCGCGTTCGGAAAACCTTTCGCCGGTCAGGAACTTATCAGCGCTCGGTCGCCGGCGTTCAGGAGTGGAGTGAACAGTGCGCAGGAGTGGCATGGCGGGGGCCCTTCGTTCATTCCGAATGACTCCCTAGAACAATCTTTGTCCCCTAACTTCTTCCTTGGGTTAGTGAAACTTGAGACTTTTCAATTACTCTGTAGATAATCACACACCAAAATTTACAAACTTGTGCTCTGTACGCTTTGTTTATGAAGCAACGAAGAAATTATAATATTGACCAACATTATCATTTTACGATTATTAAACTCTCTGTTGAACATTTGGTCGTTTTCCTCTAATTATGGCACCCGCGACCTTTCCAGGGGTCGGAGGAAGAGGTCAACCAACCTCACTGACGAGGGCCCGACGGCTCGGCGCATCCGACGTCGCCGGTCGCCTCTACCGCACGCGGCGCCGAGCAACGTCTTCGAGAGCCGCCTTGTGGGGTGCCGTGGCGGTGCCATCAGGGACATCAACGCCAAGTGTCGCAACACGTACGATCATAATTATACCAAATCAGCAAATATCTTGTCATTAGCGCATTTTCTCATTTATGGAAAAATGCCCTATTGTGCTTGCCATGTCCGTCCGTCCGTCTGTCTGTCTGTCTGTCTGTCTGTCCGTCCGTGGCTTCACGTTTTCGTCGACGAGAAAATGCGCTCTCTGTCGCTCACTGCAGTGAGTACTGAGTTATATTTTATAATATTTGTTGAGTATCCAAGTTGTGCATATTGACAGCGATTTTTCATGTATAGTTGGGCTCAGAATGCCCGGTATAGTAGAGGATTACTTAAAGTAGGTTCGCTAGCGTGGACATAGGCAGTGCTATCAGGCACTCACTGCATGAAAATGTTATAGGATATTGTATCTTTCTTAATATGTCGATTATGATGAGAATGCCAACACTAGTTAGGTGTTTAGAAACATGAACTTTCATTTCCTATTGCAGGTCTTGGGGGAAATCACGATACCCTGATTGATTACACGTATAGTCAAAGGACACAAGTCGATGATAACTGTCGAGTTGATTACTATGGAATTATGTCGAAATCAAATAGGTCACTACCACTACGTGCCCAATGTGATTAGTTGTGCTTATAGAGTAATCTTTTGGATTGAATTATTTAATGAATTGTTGATCTCATGACGAGGAATCCAACGATGGTCTCAGTCAAGGGACGCCATTAACCCTTGATGTGATCAGTCGAAGGACGCCTCTAACCCTTGATGTGATCAGTCAAGGGACGCCTTTAACCCTTGATGTGATCAGTCAAGGGACGCCTTTAACCCTCGATGTGATCAGTCAAAGGACGCCTTTAACTCTCGATGTGACCCGCCATGTTCCCCCAGGATCCTACCAGCTCGCATCCCGAAGCGCCCCGTACGCGCCGCCCCGCCCACCCCTCCCCTCCAGTCCTGCAACGGGGTAACTACTCGTACTCGACCCTCTCCACAAATTCACAAAACTGTCAAGTGTTCAATATTGTCATTTATATAATTCACTTAAATAAATGAATATATGATGCTTCTAATATGCTATTAAATTTATATTTGATTAGATCGCACGTGTCAGCCCGCGTGATAGTTGCCTCTATCACAAATAATCGTCATAGAAGTAGCGATTATTTAACATAACACCTATTCTCATCATTTACGTCACCATTTCATTATTGATATCACTGAAAGTAATTATAACATTTTGGGCATATTTAAACATAATATGCATACTATCAGTTGAAAATATTTTTTTTGTTACTTGAAAGCATGTTTCGATGCCTCACAGCTTTAAATGAATTAAAAATTATGGACAGAGTTGAATTGGATTTGGTTATAGTTAAACAATTTTGATACAATAACGATATTTTTGTGATTAAACGTGTACATTTAATCCCCAGGCCTTCAACATCTTCAGGCGCTGTGTGCCCCAAGCCGATGCCCAGAACTCCGTCAATGCCTTTGAACTTATCAGCGCTCGGTCGCCGGCGTTCAGGAGTGGAGTGAACAGTGCGCAGGAGTGGCATGGCGGGGGCCCTTCGTTCGTTCCCAATGACTCTCTAGAACAATCTTTGTCTCCTAACTTCTTCCGTGGGTTAGTGAAATTTGAGACTTTAATTGCTCTTTAAATAATCACTCACCAAAATTTACAAACCTGTGCCCTGTACGTACATAGTTTACGAAGCAACGAAGAAAATTTTTAATATATACCAACATTCTCATTTTACGATTATTAAACTCTCAGGTGAACATTAGTTCGTTTTTCCCCTAATTATGATACACGTGACCTTTCCAGGGGTCGGAGGAAGAGGTCAACCAACCTAACAAACGAGGGCCGGACGGCTCGGCGCATCCGACGTCGCCGGACTCCGCTACCGCACGCGACACCGAGCAACGTCTTCGAGAGCCGCCTTGTGGGGTGCCGCGGCGGTGCCATCAGGGACATCAACGCCAAGTGCCGCACCGCGTACGATCATAGTTGTACAAAATCAGCAAATATCTTGTCATTTTTATTATTTGTTGATCCAAGTTGTGCGTACTGCCTGCGTTTTTTTATGTATAGTTGGACTCAGAATTTCCGGCATAGTATAGGATTATTTAAAGTCAGTGCTCTAGCGTGGCCATGGGCAGTGCTATCAAGAGCTCAAAGTATGGAAATGTCATAGGATAATGAATCTTTGTCAATATGTCAAGTGTGATGATAATACCAAGACTAGTTAGGTGTTTAGATACCTACCCTTTCGTGACTGACGGAACTTCTCGGTCCCAAACCACACGGTACGAATAGCATTGACAGCGGTAAATTTAACCGAAACGAAAGGGTTTAAGTTTTCATTTCTTATTACAGTTCTTCGGCAAATATTGCGATACCCGGATTGATTAGTCAAGGGATATAAGTCGACGATAGCCGTCGAGTTGATTACAATGGAAACATGTCGAAGTCAAATAGGTCACTACGTGCCCGATATGATCAGTCGTGCTTATTTAGTTATCTATTCTACTGAATTATTTATTGAATTGTTGGTATCATGAAGAGGAATCCATCGATTGTATCAGTCAAGGAACGCCTTGAACCTTTGATGTGATCAGTCAAGGGACGCCTTGAACTCTTGATGTGATCAGTCAAGGGACGCCTTGAACCCTTGATGTGATCAGTCAAGGGACGCATTGAGTCCTTGATGTGATCAGTCAAGGGATTCCTTGAACTCTCGATGTGATCAGTCAAGGGGCGCCTTTAACCCTAGATGTGATCAGTCAATGGACGCCTTTAACCCTAGATGTGATCAGTCAATGGACGCCTTTAACCCTCGATATGATCAGTCAAGGGACGCCTTGAGTCCTCGATGTGATCAGTCAAGGGACGCCTTTAACCCTTGATGTGATCAGTCAAGGGGCGCCTTTAACCCTTGATATGATCAGTGAAGGGACGCCTTTAACCCTCAATATGATCAGTCAAGTCTACTCGACCTTCACCACAAAATTACATAACTGCCAAGAGTTTAATATTGTCATTTTAATCATTTTCTTCAATAAATGAATATATGTAACTACCATTCAATTCGCATTATATGATACATTCATTTAATTCATATTTATTCGCACACTATTCAATTGTTGTTTGATTAGATCGCACGTGCCAGCCCGCGTGATTGTTGCCTCAATCACAAATAATCGTCATAATAGTAACGATTATTTAATGTAACACATATTCTCTTCATTTACGATGATGCTTCACAGCTCTAAAAGAATTAAAAACTATGGACAGAGTTGAAAAAAACTATTTTAGCGTGCATTTGAAATGATTATAATTAAACAATTTTGATTCAACAATATTATTTTTGTGGTTTAACGTGCACATCTTCCCCCAGGCCTTCAACATCTTCAGGCGCTGTGTGCCCCAAGCCGATGCCCAAAATTCCGTCAATGCATTTGCCCTCGGTTGAGGCGCTTCCAATTTCGTTTAGCTGCAATTTTTCGCTGAATTTATTTAGCTATAATGCTAGGTAATTTTTTAGAAAAAAATTAGATATTTTAAAAATTATATTGTGCTCTCTAGTTCGGATAACGAGAACAGACTTTTATTCAATGGCAGTAAAGGGAAGAGGACGATGATCAGTGCAGGCTTGGAAACGAGAACGTTTTTAATGGAATTTAATATTCATTTAAATAGTTAAAGTAATTAAAAGACTTATCAAGACCCTGAAATATTTCTTTAAATATTCTCTTGAATAAATATTGACATTTCAATCCTTTTTTGTATGTTTACGAGAAGATGAAGTGGGTTTTGTTGAAGAGTTGAACTTATATGAGTGTACAAATATACGCTTGATATCCCTCGAACGTTTTTCTCCCTGTTATCTTACACACTAATCGAAAAATATTAATTGCATGCAAACTTTATCCCCATCAATTTATCATTTATCACACTGAGACACAGGATATGGAAGGAGTGTTGCTTCCTCCGTGCTGGGGCACACGCGAGGGAAGTAGGGTTACTTCCCTCTTTACAATGATACACCGGTAAAAATCTAAACAATAGCCGTAGATATGTTATCGATGAGCTAGATTGCCATCCAGATAAATTAATAGTGGACAAAATTGAATTATTTTTTAGTCTCTGTCTAATAAATTGTAATCAATTACCTATAAAGGGAAAACTGCCGAAATCTTCTCTTCTCCAAGAAAAGAGTTCTGTTGCGTGTAGTAAGAGTTGTGGTGGTAGAAGCGCCTCAAAGTCCTGTCTCTTCCAAGAGACTGGAGTAATTGCCAGCTAAAGAAGTAGGAACATGATGCTAAAACTTTCGTCGGTGCAGCGTCATATCGGATCCAAGTTAAATAGGAACCTTTCATAGGAAACAGTGCGGTCTGCGCTGCGCTCATGGTGCTGAAAGAGACTCTTAATTATTATTCCGAAGTTTATTTCCAAATGGTGATATCACAAAAGCACATCAGCATTGAATTTAATCATTACATTTCTCGGAGTTGGTTTTCTAACGATAAAAACTTCCTAGTTTTCCACTTGGGTTGATTCTGAGCTGAGCTAATGTAGGTGAATTATCCAATTAAATATATGAACTAATTTCCCATATTTAGCGTGATGTACTTGTGCAAATTTTTTTCGATCTTTCAGCCAACTAATTTTGTATCAGTTAAAATATAAAAGAAAATAAGTTTAGCTTATATAAATTCAAATTAAAACTTAGCGATGACGCGCACGTTTTTCAATTCTCATTGAAACGAAACCTTAGCTCTGTAAACAATGTGCGGCATGACTGCTTTGGAGATCCGAAATAGTTGTACCTATAAATTTTCAGTATTGTTTATGCAATATTTAAATTACAAAATTAATGATCTTGAAATTTTGTTTATATTCGTTGCTGAACGGATAGCGGTGCCTTATGATTTCTCACCCGTTTCGCATGGAGCCTAAAATTAAAAAGCTTTCTCACACGCCAGTCAGCGTTTAACGATTTGGATTTGGGGCGTGATGACTCTGAAGGGAAGAACATTTCTGTGTCAGGCCTTTGCAACGGCCATCAGCCACGCATCACATATTCTTTTGTTAGGAGGAAGAAAGGGAAACTATAAACAGCAAAGAGGGTGTGAAAATTCGTGTTAGGGGCAAGATGAGAGCTAGGTGAAAAGAAATCAAGAGGAAATTCAAATGGTTTATTATTGCTATTATTATTATGCTATAGCTATCTCAGTTTTTGCCCTGTGTAATTTAACATTTACGGTAGTTATGTGGCCTCTAATGCCCTAAGTGACTATCTGTGTAATATTGAATTATTATGGTTTGGTTATTCCATCTTTATTATACTGCTGCTCAGTGCTCACTAGTCTCTACTGTCCCGTGTCC